TCTAATTTTTATTGGCCTAAACTTAAACCTATGGTTGCTGCTTATGTAAGGTGTTGCACAGTTTGTCAACAAACAAAGATGGAGCATATTTCTAAGCCGGGTTTATTACAACCTTTGCATGTCCCTAGTCAAGCTTGGGAGGCCATTACTATGGATTTCATAGAGCATCTACCTACCTCATTTAAGAAGAATTGCATTCTGGTTATAGTGGATAAATTTACAAAGTATAGTCATTTTCTGGCCCTATCTCATCCCTATTCATCAGTATATGTTGCTAAATTGTATTTAGACAATGTTTACAAGTTACATGGCCAGCCTAAGATGGCCATTTCAGATAGAGATAAGACTTTTACCAGTTCTTTTTGGAAGGAACTGATGAAACAGTTGGGTACTCAGACAGTTTTCAACACTGCTTACCATCCAGAGACAGATGGTCAAACAGAAAGAGTTAATCAATGTTTGGAGCAGTATTTAAGGGTTTTTTGTTTCTATCAACCTAAGAAATGGGCTACATGGCTATCTCAGGCAGAGTGGTGGTACAATACCACTTATCACACTGTTATTAAACTTACTCCTTTTCAAGCTTTATATGGATACAAACCACTTATTATGGTTTGGTCTACTGACACTACACTACAAGCAGTACAAAATATTACTACAAGCAGAGAGCAAATCAGACAATTAGTGAAACAGTAGTTAGAAATGGCTAGTAATCAGATGAAGCAACAGGCAGATAAGAAAAGGTCTGAAAGGATCTTTACTATTGGAGATAGGGTTTACCTGAAGCTGCAGCCTTATAGGCAAACTTCGCTTGCTCTGCAAAAAAACCTCAAGTTAGCAGCTAAGTATTATGGTCCATATACAATTTTGGAAAAAATAGGAGATGTGGCTTATAAACTGGACTTACCAAATTCTTCGAAGCTCCACCCAGTGTTCCATGTGAGCCTTTTGAAGAAATTCATCGGGGATTCTGCTACTGCTACCACTGATCCTCTTGCAGTTGATGAAGAAGGACAGTTAAGCATTAAACCTTTGAAGATTATAGGAAGGCGTATAATAAATCGACACAATCGACCAGCCACTCAACTTTTGGTTCGATGGACGAATATGAATGACTTGAATGATACATGGGAAGACTATTCGGTTCTCAGGGGCCAGTTTCTTGATTTTGATCCTTGGGGACAAGGCTCATCTTGTGGGGTGGGTATTGTCAGAATCGGAGGAGAAGATGAAGAAATCGGAAGAGAAGAGGAAGAACGAAGGAATGAGAAGGAATTGGGAAGAGAGGAACGAGGGTTAGGGATTATGGAGAGTAATTTGGGAATTGAAATGAAAGAAGGAATTGAAGCATGAGGAGAAAAGGGATTAAAGTTACCTGATGAGGGAAGAAGCGGGCCGAAGATATCCCAGGGAAATGTGGAGTGGCCCAAGCAGAATGACCCATTACCTGTAACAGCCAAAGAATGATATAATCAGTTTGTTAGACAGTTGGTTAGCATAGAATGTCAGCTGGCATTAGTAGATTCTCTATACCAGCTTGTAACTAAATAAAAACTGTTGTGTAATCAACATTTCTCTTTTATGCAATGAATGAAGAATTCCTTTCTACTATCTCTTCTCTAAATTCTTCTCTTTCGCAACTACTCTTTCTTTTAATCTATAACATTCAGGCTTAGAAACCTTAATAAATTGTGGCATGAGTGAAGATGTCGGATTTGAGCTTAATTATTCGGTATTGACTCCCTTGATGATAATAATGTTTGAAAATAATAACGGCTGCATGGTGATGCTTGCAACACACATGTATATATTACATTTGGGCTTAGTGGCGTGATCTTGATTACTATTATGAAATCATATATATCCCTATACTCGATGTTAGATGAGATTGATATATAGATGACATATTGATTCATATATGTACTTTAATGCCTTTATGACTTGTTGATGATAGCTACACCTTAGTGATATACTAGGAAAAGCATGAGATTTGTTGGAAGCATGTCATGCCTTGCTATATGATCATGTATATACTTGCTTTCACTTTATGTTCTCGTATGCTTATATTTGTGACATTCATAATATGATTATTGTATTAGCGATTTATTATTGAGTTTGTAAAGTTTAGTATTCGAATAATATTTTCGTTCGTAGGTTAATTGATTCAGTGGGTTTATAGAGTACTGTCGTCACAAGATTTATATCATTTACTTTCATGGTACAGTTTTGAAGTTTTGAATATTATAGTAGGCGTTAGTATTTATAAGACCTATATGATTATACAGTCGGTAAAATTTTAACTATTTTGAGATGTATTTTGTAAACTATTGTTTTAGAGTTCCAAATTTGTGAACCATATTTTAAATGTGTTATGTCAATAATTATTTCAAATGTTTATGAGCAAAGTATTTTAGAAAATTTTGTTGTAGTTGTTTCAGTGGTCCAATGTGACACCTTTAATTCATATAATTTTAAGATGCTACACATAAAATGATATTATCTCGATAACAATAATAATGATTTAAGAAAATTGAATTATATTCAAACTTCATATATAAAATTATATAAAATCAAAGTTCATGTATGACATCATATATTTCACTAACATTTTATGTATTTTTTAATATATATATATATATATATATATATATATATATATATATATATATATCCCTACTCCAATTTAGTAAGTTCGAGTTTTGAGGATATATATAAACTAACTTGATAATAGATGCTTGTTTTTGCTTTTGGATTTTGGCTTGTTTTAGTGAGGGGAATGAAGGGACCACTGATTTAACTAAAGAACCAAAGATCACTTTGATTGTTTAGTGCACAATTAAAGAGACTTAATAAAGAAAGATTCCAATAGTAATAATAAAATCAAAGTGATTAATAAAGTATGCCCCTAGTTTAGGCAAGAATATATGTCAAAGCTTTATTGCTTTAGTGATAATGTACTTAAATATGGAGGAAAAGCAAATTATTAAAAATTGGGTTGAAAGCTGTGATGATACTCTAATTATAGTTTAAGCTTCCTTTTTCGGTTTAAGCTACAATGACATGTTATAGACCCAGAGTCCTTTTAGTCATTATTTATATCCAATGAAAGGGGTCCGAATTACATCATAATGTTTTATAAGATATGTAGTTATTAGGAGAATAAAATTGCCATCTCAGGATTTTTCCTCTTTGAAAAGAGTTATATCTTATATGAATATATATATATATTTTGAATCAAAGGAAGAAGAAAACTAAATGGAAAACTTAATCTCCAGCAGCTCCCTTGCGCAGCAAGTAGCCAACTGCTGCAGGCCGGGAAGATTCATCCATGCATAATAAGAAAAAAATATATTTTTATGAAAATATTAATTATAAAAATGTATTAAAATACATAAAATTCAATTAATTTTTATTTGTGTAAAGTGGATCTATTCTCTATAACTAATGGAAGCTCTAATTATAGCATCTTACCTAACCTGCGCTCAAATTTCTTTTACAAGTTATAGTGGAAAATATGGAAGTAAAGGAAATGGGGTAGGTTCATTTAGCACTTGCAAGAAAAGTTTCATTTAAAGATTTAATCTCAGTTGGTTATTTTAGAATGTTTGTTTTAATATACCAAGCCAAAAAATTATTAAAAATAAATAAATCTAAAAATTCTTAATATATTAGTAGGAATTCAAAACTTTGGCAATTATATGCAATTATTTTACCCTCTTTTTTTATTTAATTAATTCAATTTTGAGTTAAATAAATATTTAATTTCTAAGCTGTATACTTTTACTGCTTTGGTACTTCAAATATTTTTTTTTATTACTTTAGTACTTGAAGTTTCAAATTGTTATCACAGTTAGTTCATTTGTTAACACCATCAATTAAAATAGTGTGACGCAGTATAAAAAATCACAAAGTAAGATAAGAAGCATGCAATAAATGTAGTATTTGTTCAGAGTTTTTTAGTCATTGACAACGCAGACAAGACCGCTTGAATCCAGGACTTCTTAAGAAAATAAAATTCTTTTTAGCGTCATGAAATTACTTGATGAATCTGTTAAAAGTATAAGAGTTCATATCTATGATCTTTAAACTTCATGTTTAAATATGTAACATGGTGATTCATACGATAAATTACAAGTTTTCTTACATAAATTGTCTTAGTGGCTAGATGACATGCATGAATTGCCAGTTCAACTAATTTTATGTGCATTATATACCTATGGGACTATATGTAAATAATATGATGATGAAATGGGTGATACATGATGTTATGATCATTTCACATCTTCGAATGTTATACAGAAGCCTTTACCTTGTCTTAAGGCTATATGGTTATCATACCATCGAGTGTTATATGTAGATTAAAATCAAGTGACATTTATAAAAATTATATATATAATTTAATTTATTTAAATGTTAAGTTTAAATTCGAATTAAGTTTTAAAAAATTGAAAAATTCAAATAATTAAATTTTAACTATTAAGTAATTTAAATGACTCAAAAATTAAAGAATAATTGAGTCAAATCGGTTTTATTTTCCTTTAATACTTTGACCTTTTTGTCAATATCTAGAGAAGGATTAAGTAATTGATACTTAAAATGTAAAAAAGAAAATATTTCTAAACTACTTTCGAGAAACACGAGGAAAAAGAGTACCTTAGCTATCACTTTTGTTATGTTTTAGTTATATACCTATTTTTTTAAAATCACATATAAAATTGAGTTTTGATTTCATTTTGATCATCAACTACAAAACTGATGATGTGACATTTAAAAAAATCGATAATGAAGACACATTTTTTTATTTTTTCAATAATAACATGATATTTTTTTAATAATGATCTGATTTACTTTATGGTGACACGTGACACGTAAGCATTACCGTTAAAATGAAACAAAAAACTAAATGTTAGACATAATTTAAAAAAATAGTTGGGTGACCAAATAGAACAAAAGTAATAGTTAATGTATTAAACGTGTAGTTTATCCAAGAAATAGAGACAAAGACAAAGACTTCCGCGCTGCCGTTACGTCTGATGAAAGTAAACAATCAACAAGCAGAATGTCACTCCCCCTAAACCCCAATTCTTCCTTTCATTTTCTCTTCTCCTTAATTTCAGTTTTCCCACATTTTACTTTTCTTGTTTACCAAACACACTCCACTTTTCTCTCTCCTATATGTTAAGTCTAATCTCTTGGTCATTGTTCCACTGGAATTTCCAACACCCAACATTTCCCCGTGTTTCATCTGCACTGAAGTCTCTGTTTTTACATACTCGGGTTTTCTTCTTTGTTTCTTACTTTGATGGTCCATGCACTGTTAGATACTACAGTTACACTCATTACCAGAGGTAAAAGATATTGGACGGCGCTCTGAATCCGGTAATCCCTTAGTTTTCAGTCCGTTCATAATTTGGAAGTATCTAGCATGAACAGTATGAAACTATGCATGCAAATTCAATGACTGAAGGTTTTAAAATGTTACCTTTTCGAATTTATGTCTTGTTTTTACCTGTAATGTGAAGCAGATGTTTTGTCCAATGACTGATGCAAGAAAAAGATAATTTAAAAAAAAAATATTTTGGTTTTTAATCAACATAGTAACTTAAATGCAGGTGTTTTGAACTGAAAGCCTTGAATTATTTCCACCGGAGACTGGTGAAATAATGGACCAGAAAACATGGATTTGGAGGAAAAAAGCTTCGGAGAAAATCATTCTTTCAACTGACAAAGTAGACCTGTCAGTGGAAGACAATAAAGACGAGGTGAATTATTTTCAATAAACTTTCTAAATTTAATGATGTTGAGGATTTGCAAAATTGCATGGGAAAATTTTTAGTTTGGAATAGCGTTATTATACTTGAGTTTTCTTCCTGGTGATTTGAGGTTTATACGTTTTCCCCCAGATACAGACACTTGTTGAGGATCGAAGAGCATTGGAGAATGAGCTGAAAATTTTGAATAACAAGCTTTCTTCTGCACTTTCTGAATGTAATTCCAAAGATGAATTTGTGAAGAAACATGAAAAGATGGCAATGGAAGCTGTTGTTGGTATATTTTGTTATCCTTTTAAATTTTTGATCTATTAATAATGATCTGCATTTACTTGGTCACTTTTTAACCAACAAATTATATGAAGGCAAGGAAAAGGTAGAAGTGGAAGCAGTTCTTCTAAAGCAAGAACGCGATGAAGCTTTGCAGATGAGGGTTGCTTGCGAAGAAAGGCTAACTCGTCTCGATGCAGCCCTCAAGGAATGCATGCAGCAACTACGGTTCGTTCGAGAAGAGCAGGAGCGGAGGATCCATGACGCTGTAACAAAGGCCTCGAATGAGTTTGAGAAATCACAGAAGACATTGGAGGCACGATTGGCGGAGTCGAGTAAAAGGGTTACAAAATTAGTAGCTGAGCATACTAATCTCAGTAAGGCCCTGTTAGCAAAGGAAAAACTGATTGATGATTTATACAAGCTAAGGGCTCAAATGGAGACAGATTTTAATGCACTAATGACAAGAGTAGAGTCCACAGAGAAAGATAATGCTTCTCTGAAATACGAGGTTCGAGTTCTTGAGAAGGAACTCGAGATCAGGAATGAAGAGAGAGAATTCAATCGTCAAACATCTGAGGCATCACACAAGCAACATTTAGAAAGTGTGAAAAAAATTGCTAAGATGGAATCGGAATGTCAAAGGTTGCGGCTCCTAGTCCGGAAACGACTGCCAGGTCCTGCAGCCCTGGCTAAGATGAAAAATGAAGTTGAAATGCTGGGAAAGGATTCTATTGAAATGAGTAAGAGAAGGTTAGATACTAGTCCCGGACAAGACTTCGTAACCGACAGTTATTCAGACAGCCCGAGGAAGAGGATTAATATCCTAAATGAGCAATTATGTGCTATGGAAGAAGAAAATAAGGCTCTCAAAGAAGCCCTAAATGAAAAAACGAGCGAACTTCAATTTTCGAGAGTCATGTATGCACGCACAGCTTCAAAATTATCGGAGGTTGAGACACAGATTGAAGAATCAGCAAAAAGTGAGGCAAACAGTGAAGCAACCAGGAATATTGCAATGCCACATGAGGTTTCTCTGGCATCAATGTTTGATGTTGGCAGCAATCGTAAAGCCGGCACTGCAGAATCCTGGGCTTCGGAGCAATTCAAGAATAGACAGACAAAAGAGTCGTTATCTCGCAGAACTGTTGGATCTTCAGAAATAAATCTGATGGATGACTTTGTTGAAATGGAAAAACTAGCTTTAGTTTCTGTTGATCAACCCTCTGTAAATTCTCATGTTTCTTCAAATGAAGCTAATAGGACCCTTGGACCCTTGCAACCTGGTTCAAGTGGAAATTCATTGGAGGTAATGTGTATGGAGATAGTCCCTGTTACTTACGGTCAGTCCGACCAAAGCTTGTCGAACAATGAAACGAAGTCCCAAAGCCCCTCGCTTAGCAATGGTACTGATTGGCTTCGGGAAATACTTAAGGTGATCTTGGAGCAAAGCAATGCAACTCAAAGAAACCCTGACGAAATACTCGAGGATATTAGAAAAGCTTTGGCCTGCATGAACTATCCAAACACTGGTGAAAATTTTTATGAAAGGGAGGGTTTAGACCATCCGAGTGCCTCGGGTCCCTCTTGTATTAGTGGCTACTTCTCATGGAAACCTTCAAATGGTTCTTCACAGATGGATTTGTCTAATCGGGATGCTGATGTTAACATCTGCTCGGAAGATAAGAGCAACCAGCAGTTTCATCCTGATTTGAGTAAATCGATTTGCAGGATAATCGAGCTTATCGAAGGGATCAATATATCATCGGCAGACAATAATATCCCGGAGTCCTTATTCAAGGGGAAGAACTCTTCATCACACAAGCACTCAGAAACACCATCTGGCTACACAGTTCATGTTTACCAGTGGAAAGCTTCCGAACTTGATGCTGTTTTACAACAATTTGTGCGTGCTTGTCATGAGCTGTTGAATGGAAAGACAGGTCTCAACAAATTTATCCAAGAATTAACTTCTGCGCTGGACTGGATCATTAATCATTACTTTTCCCTCCAACACTTTTCAAGCATAAGAGATGCGATTAAGAAGCATTTCGACCGGGATGAAGTGCAAAGTGAAACTGAAGCAGAAGTTGGAATAGTCAGTCAGTTTGCAGAGGCAGATAAATTACACTTCACAGTTCTGAATGGCAACAATGACTTCCTTCAAAAGGAGCACAACGTGAAAGAAGAAAATCAAAAACTAAGAGACGAGTTGGAAGCTGAAAAGAAACACCTGGAAGATAAGCTCCAATCAACCACAAATAGGAGTGACTCCCTGTCGAATCAACTTGAGGAATCTGAAAAAACCATTGCAAACATGCAGGCAGAATTGGATACTTTGAGAAGAACGCATGAAATGGATGAAGGTCGAGTTCAAAAGCAGCAGTCGATAAACAAAAACCTCAATAATCAACTTTCATTGACCAAAATTGAACAAAATGAGGCTCGTGAGAAGTTTCATTCTCAAGACCTGGATTCTGAGAACAAAAATTACTGTCATGAAGAATTGGAGGTCACATGTATTGACAGGTAATATCAACTTTTTCCTTCTGAACCTAATATCATGATCGATATTGATTAAGATTTAAGGGGTCGAGAGTCTTATGCAGCTGGTGTTTTGTTTTCTTCAGTGTGACAGAAAAGGAAATCTCAAACTCTGAAATCAAGAAGCTAGAGAATCAGTTTCGAACTGTAAGTCCATGTCATGCATATGTGCATAACATAATTTTGTTCGACATAATTACTCTGGAAGCTTTGATATGTAACATGCAAACGATTCTGAACTCTTGATCAACCTAGCAGGACTGGGAGATTGCAGCTGCTTCAGAAAAGTTGGCTGAGTGCCAAGAGACTATTTTAAACTTGGGAAAGCAGTTGAAGGCATTGGCATCTCCAAAGGAATCAGTCCTTTTCGACAAGGTTGTCCCCACTCCAACAGAGACCATCACTCCAACTTCAACTGCAATCCCAACTCCATCAACGAAGACATTGACGAGCCAAAGATATTCTCTACTAGATCAAATGATAGCTGAAGATAATGCCGAACCAAATGATCTTGTGTCTCCTAAGACCAAAGAAAAAGTCGATTCCGATTCATCATTCCTTTCTAACAGGACGGTAGCATATCTAGACAGCATCGTAGTTTCGAATGGAGATAAACATCAGGATGACAATGCTGCAGTGAAATCTTTAGCAATTGTTCCTAGCAAAAAACAAGGTGTGAGTTTATGGAAAAAGCTCTTGTGGAGAAAAACAAAAAGTAAGAGCAAGAAAACATCTCTTCCATTCGCGGCATAGACTTAAATATAAAAGTGGCGATAAGGAAGATCTAAGGCTTTTGTCACGGTTTTTTATTTTTGGTTTCTCTCTCGTGTTTTGTGCGATAATGAATAAAGGTTTTTCTATGGTTGCTTGAATGAATACCTCGTTTGTAGTCTTTATAAGTATGATATATAAAGTTATCGCTTAATGAAAAAATAAGTTCTTAAATTATACTTTTGTTAATTTTAGGTGTCTAAATTCTTTTTTAGCTCACAGTAGGGGCCTATCATTTCTTATGTTACTCTTTTAAGTGTCTATACCGTAACGATCATTCAAAAAAAGATTGTTATCTAGCACGTATCGTGTTTATATTTTTTTTGAATTTTTTAAGTTAAAAATATTGTTTTTATAAGAAAAACCCCAAATTCTTTGAAATTACAAAAAAAAAAAAAATCAAATCTCTATCCCTAATTCACACATCAAGGCCATGTCTCGGAAGAAGATGAGGAGTTCACTAGGATTGGTCTCGACGGAGTGTAAGGTGGCTTCAAACGAGTGAAAGGTGAAAGGCAAAGAGGTTTCGACGGTTTGGTCTCGCACTTGTAAGGGGGCTTCGCACTGAAATAACAACTTTTGATGGAAAGGGAAGGCAGGTAATGGGTTCCGTAGACGATGATGGCAGCCAACGACGGTAATGGACTTTAGGTTAGGGATTTAGGGGGTATTTAGGAGTCTTATGATTTTTGTTGTAAGAAAGAGACTTATAAACAGATTTTTTTAATGGCCGTTATAACGTAAACACTTAAAAGAATAACGTTAAAAATATTAGACATTCATTTTAAACAAAAATTTCTTTAGCACCTAAAATTAATAAAAGGTATAACTTAGACACTTATTTTTGTATTAAGTCTATAGTAGACACTTAAAAGAGTAACGTTAAAAACATTAGACACTCACTTTAAACAAAAAATTCTTTAGGCACCTAAAATTAATAAAAGGTATAACTTGAACACTTATTTTTGTATTAAGTCTATAGTTATATATATATATTTAACAAAGCCAAGAATTTATGCGTAGGGAAGAGAGTATAATACTCTGGATTTGTTAACAATTTGGAATGTTCATTTTTGTTTATTCACTAACAAGAGAATATAAATTCTCTGTTAGAGATTTAAGATCAACCGTTGCAAAACATGCTACACTTGTCCTGAGGTCAATCAAACCCTGATTCATCAATGATTTTTAAGAAAAAAAATACCAAGAAAATTGAAGATCCAAATGTTGCAGACAAAATTCCCATGCCTCAACAATCACTCTTTGTACTGCACAAATCTAGCCATATCATGGAGCCCAGCCTCCTTGTAACATTCAGCAATTTGCCCCAGAGAATTATCCCAAGTACCTTCCACAGAAGCTAAATCCAACAAAAAGGCAGCTTCATCCAATGCGATCTGCGGATTTTGTTTACGATATGGATCATACACGAAAGTCAGAGAATTGGTGAGAAGAAAAACGAAGCAATAGCTAACGTAGACCTCTAACATCAATATTCAGCTTAATAAACATCGACCTGGAAAGGCGGCTTTCCTCTGTTAAGATCTTCTAGCCTGCTCTCTTCTGTCAACTTTTTAGTTTTGTATTCAATTTGCTCATCCTCCCATTCAGCTATACGCGCAACTTCCTGGAGAAGAAGCAACTTTTTAATATGAGAAGATTAGTTCTATTTATATTTTGAAACGGAAAGAAACATGAATGATCATGAAAATGAGTATCTGCAGTTCCCCTACATGATACTTGCAACCTAAAGTCCACCATGGAGACTTTAAGGCCCCCCTCGCGGCATCTTTAGCTTCTAGATTACGCCCAACCCTAAAATGCCAATGAAGCACCTTAGCACAAGATGTGAGTTAAAAATATCAGACAAAACACAAGTTAGTGTATGGAATTTTAACTACTTTTGTAAAAGTTGAGCATTGAAAACAAAAGGCCTCGCAAATCCTGGAAAATGCTGTTTCCTTGTATAGAATTCTCCAGTCACCAGGGCTGAAACCTTTTACATGCAGGTACATGAAAAGCAACGTTGTTAATTTGAATGCAGAAATTAACACTGTTTTAATAGCTAGAGTGGTCGAGTAGGCTTACATGGTCTCCTTTCTTGAAGTACTTCATCACTATGCGTTCTAGGACATCGGGAAATAAACCAACCTAAAATGGTCATCGTCATTACAATATACTGAAATCTGGTTACACCACAACAGAAAAAAATATATAATTTTGATACCTTTCTTAAAAGATAGACATCTATATCTGTAATCCCAGATTTAGAAAAGTCGCCCTTTTTATAAAGCTTATCCCCAGCATCGGATGCAGCATGAAATAACTCATTACTTCCGCTTTGGCAGCCATTGGCATCTTCGTTTACCAGGATTCTGTGTATAAAGTGGTCTACCTATTTGAGAGAGAGGGAAATAACAACAATGTATGGGAGATATGCCGGCATGGCGAAGAACTGATATTAAAGATATCAAATAAAATGAAATTCCAGCCCCGAACACTAGCAGGGGAAATGGTTACATTGACTAAGTCATGTTAAGGGCACAACTTACATTCTTGGCCAAAAGCCAAACTCCATGATTACAGACCTCCACCACAGGCATCTCCATCCTAAGGAAAGAGAGGAATCTCAATCAGTTTAAAGAGAATTAACAACTAATAAAAGGTCAGACATTTGAAGTTTCTCACCCAATGGGAGCTGTTGGCCACCTGAGCAATGCAGTTACAGCACCTATTACCAACAACATCATGCAAATGCATCAATTTAAGCATTTCTTATTAAAAGCCAAGTTCAATATAGATCACACTTTATCAGTGTACCTGAGCTGCTTTTGGATAGTGGAATTGTTAGCGGCATTAACCCTTGTTTTGCTCCAGGAGAAAGAATTGATTCACCTGTGGTGATGCTTAGAGTTTCCAATCACTACAAACTATCAAAGCCAATGTTCTATTCCAAAAATTTCAAAATCAAAACTTTCACCTTGATCGGTAGACAATTACCCACTTAAAGTGCAACAAATAAAAACATGAACTTGCATTTTCAGATACCTGAATAAATTATGTTTCTTGAGAGACAGCTAACAAGTTGAACTCTTTTAGCAACCATTATACTATCCTTATCAAAAACCCAAATCCAATATCATAAAAGAAAACAACTTTTACCTCTTGCATTGAGTATTCCTAAAAGCTGACACAGATGCTCAGGAGGTTGAGTTGTAGCCACATCTTTAATGAAACTAATGTGTTCTGCAATTTCCATGCTATATTTTCTTTACTTGCTAACTAAAAAGTTCAAAAACAAAAAAAAAAGGAAATGGAAAAGCGAAGGGGAAAAAATAAAACAGATAAAAATAGAAATACCCACCTTGAAATGAAGAAGAAGAGGAAGAAGAGCATAGGAATCTTGCGCATCTTCCATGGCGAAGAAGCAGTGAACTGGTACGTTGTGATGAAAACGCCATGTGCTGCGACTGCAAGCCGGGCGGACAGATTTTCAAGAATTTCTCAAAGGAGACACAATAAAAGCCCAAATTCAAAAGGCTTCGAGTCATATGTACAAAGTGGACCAAATGTATCAAATTGAACCCAAGTTGTTGCTTAAGAAAATTATTTCACATGTTTGATTTACTTGGGGGGGGGGGGGGATCTAATCACATTAATTTTGTCTCTTAATATTCAGGCAGAAGCTAGCGTCGCATCTCCTCGTTAATAATGTTAATATTCACAATAGCACCGTCAGTCTCGAATCCTTTATCAAAGTTTATAAATTGACTAACCTCCGATCAATCTTTTTTTATTTTTAAATTAGAAAATTTTGAGGATAAATTAGATATAAAATTATTGTTTAAGGACTTATTTTATGTTTTAATTGTAGTCTTTAGATAAAATTAAATATTAGCTTTTTTTGTTAACATTTTCACATAATCAATTTAACAGAATGAGGGGTGATCATTTTATTATATATCAATTATATTAGTGACCAATTTGTTATTTTTAAAACATTGGTAGAGAAAATAAATATTTACTCAAATATTAGTGGCTATTTGTGTAGTTTACACAAAATTAAACGATGAGTTTAGTTAAACTCATTTATGCATAATTACGTTCCTGAAACCTTCACATTAACATGAAACCGAGAAAGGAAAAGTTACAAAAAAAAAAAAAATTAGAAAGCCATAAATGTTACCAAGATCAACTATAAGAAACAACCCAAATCTTAGCTTCAATTTTCATATTAGGTTTCTGTGCAGGAAAATTGTGAAGCTTGCGTGGAATATAATGGCAGACATCCGCTTGATTTCGTCGAGTATGATCCAGGCAGGGAACCCCAGCAAAGAAACTGAGAGAATAGAGCTAACACCATGGGACCTCAAACACCTATTAGTTAGCTACATCCAGGAAGGAGTGCTCTTCCATAAGCCCAAACCCAAGGCTGATGAACCCCAAAACGCCTTAATCCACCGCTTGAAAACCTCCCTTTCACGTACGCTCGCCTTCTTTCCTCCACTTGCCGGTCGCCTTGCCGCCCTTGAACATGAAGATCAAACCACTTCCTTCTTCATCGACTGCAACAATGCCGGAGCCTTGTTTGTCCATGCTGTAGCTGAGCAACTACACGTTTCCGATATCTTGGAACCCGTCTATGTTCCCGAAATCGCCGACGGCTTTTTCCAGTTCGATGGGGTTAAGAACATTGAAGGCACTTCAAAACCATTGCTTGCTGTGCAAGTAACGGAGCTTGCCGATGGCATTTCCATTGGTTGCAGTATCAATCATTCTGTTGTGGATGGTTGTTCGTTTTGGCATTTCTTTAATTCTTGGTCCGAAATTTCTCGCGGTTTTGATTATATATCTAAGCTTCCCGTATTTAACAGACCGGTCGTTGATGATATAGATTACCCTATTCAGATTCCATTAAAACAGGAGCAAATTCAACAACATTCCTTTCAACCAGGTAATTTGAAATCAAGAGTGTTTTATTTTACAAAACAGGGAATCGTGAGAATAAAAGGAAAAGTTAACGCCGAGATGAACACCAACAAGATCTCCTCTCTTCAAGCACTCTTGTCTCTGTTTTGGCGATCCATCGTCCGGAATAGGCGGACTGATCCGAAGCAAGAGACGATGATTTTCTTAATGTTCGGTGTTAGACAAAGAATGCAGCAGGTACCGCAAGAGTATTTCGGGAATGCGATTCAAGGAGCAATGGTGAGTTCAAAAGCAGGAGAGCTGATGGAGAAGGGGTTTGGAGATGCAGCATGGGAAATCAACCAGGTTGTTGCGAACCACAGTGAGGAGAACTTCAGAAACTCATTCAAGTCATGGGTGAATAACCCTCTGCTGTTCCAAGCAGGGGAAGTGATGAGCAATGTTTTGTCAATTGCAAGTTCACCAAGGTTCGATAAATATGGGAATGATTTTGGATGGGGTAGAGCCATTGCAGTGACTTTTGGGGCAGAGTTCAACATAGATGGGCTGTTGATGGTATCCAACGGAGTTGAAGAAGGAGATATTGAGATTAGAGTCTGCCTATCGGCTGAGACCTTTCAGGCCATGGAAAATGATGAACACTTCATCTCTGCACTCAACATATGATTTATTATCTCTCCATTACTGTTAATTAAATAACCTTGAAATAAAATGGTTATTAAAAATCAGGAGGGACTAGTATTGATGTATAACAAATAAATCGGTTATTAAAAATGGTTTAGATGGAGAGAAATGTAGCGATTAAGTCCACGATTTATAATTTCTCTTTTAATTTGAGGGACAAGTCTTAACTTGTGAACAGAAATCATCTGTCCTCTTCTTGTGTCTTTCTTTATGTCCTACCGATAATATTTTGACACGTGTTATTTTGTTTTTGTTTATACGACAAAACTAACGTAATCTTTTAAACCCTTCAAAAAAATTAACGTTATCTTTTAAAAAGATTTTTTTTTTAATTTCACTTCATCTTCTACCTTCAAGCCCATCAGTTTATTTTGCTTTAATCTCATTCTATCTCGTTTGTTAACTAGTTTACTGTGTGTGCAAATGCAAGCTCACTTTGTTGATCCATAGGTAGATTCAGTATCGAGTGAGAATACACCAGCAATAAAAGAAAAAAAAAATACTTCCAGATCCTGATGTTCTAAACCGAGTCGCAAGTTCTTCACTTTTTATAATTCTTCCGTTGGTTTCCAAATGTTGTTTCATGTCTCAATACTATTTGTCTGCAAATCTTCAGCTCTTGAAAAACTAGGGGACGTTTTGTTTTATTGTCTACGCCTTTTTATTTCTTTAGTTTTCTTGTTGATTTGTCCTAGTTTGCAGGTTTGCTTCTTTTATAACTTGGAAATTTTTTTATGTTCGATTTTTTAATAAATCACCAATCGACCTTTATTAAAAAAAATCACATATAAATATTAAATTAATCAGAGTTTTCCTTTCAACCGGAGAGGATGCATCAAAGACTGAACTGAAAACTTATAAACTCTTATCTTCCATTGATATGGTCGATAATTATATCTAATGAGTTTAGAGGTGTAACACTCTAAATTCGATTGGGATTAAAGTGTCACATTAGGTTATCGGGGCAACCCTGATTTTCAAAACCTATTTATTTCTATTTAAAAACATGTTGAATTGTATCAAAAACACATGACAATTACTAAAACACTTTTATAAAACTGTGACACATAATTTAAATCAAATAATACAAATCAAAGTTTGAAATCTAAAGACATAGGTAAGAGTCTTATGATTATACGTGCCCACTAAAGTTACAGTACAATACTCTAAAAGGGATGCTGGAAGTTCTGCTACGACAATGCTCCTCCAACGGCTCAAGCTAATAACTTTGAACAGAAAATATCCGAACACTGAGCTTACAAAGCCCAATAGTATAATCACTAATCTAGAGCATCATTATGAATCTCGTAAACACAAACATGCTAAAGACATGTGTTAGGCTTGATGAAGCTCGTTCGATCAACCGAAAAAGTGCCAAGATGAGGTAAATTGACTTTTTGAAGTTTAGGGAGTAAGGAGGAAAAATGATAGACAATTTGCACAATGATTTATAGTGGCTCAATTTCCTCAATGAAGTCTACATCCACTACCTAAGCTCCTCACTTAGGATTTTCCAACAAATATACTAATTTGTTCTTTCTTTTTCAAGGATCAATAGTAACCTTTACAACTCCCTAGTTTTTCACTTGGCTAAAACTAGAACCAAAGCCCCTTTACAAAGTTGGAAAGATGTAAACAAGAAAAACCCTTACAAGGTAGGTGTTTACACAATTTAGCTCATTGAAAACACACTATTTACAAGAGAAAACAAAGAATAAAGAATGAAAACTTTTCTCTTGATGATCAATTCTTGGATAGGTGTTGTGTAACCTTATTCAAATGTCTTGAACTTGTTTTTATATGTTGGAATGAGTTACTAGCCATTTGGGAAAGTTTGGAGCCGTTGGAAGCCTTTCTGCACACAAAGTTTCGAAACTCTTCAAAAGAGCCATTAGAAAAATATGGCTGCTGGAGCCAAAGTATCGAAACTTTAGGGAAAGTTTCGAAACTCTTGAGATAGTTTCGAAACTCTTGAAAAGTATCGAAACTTTTTGGGACACTGTCTTGGAAAGTTTCGAAACTCTTGTAGAAATTTCGAAACTTCTGGTCAGAAAACTCATTTTAAGGTTTTGATTGGACTTTGAATTATTTTGATGAAAACTCTGAATAAATTCAATTTAGTCCAAAAACATTTTACCTTATTTGTTATATCAAAATATTAGTTCTACAATAAGTATAGGTTTGAAAATTTTTAATTTCAAGAATGAAAGAGGGGGAGCTTTAATTTTTTCTAAAATATTTATCTTTTTCATTAAATGTTTTATTAAGGCGAAGCTTTTGCCAAAAACTTATTTTTCAAAGGTTTTGTTATATCAAAAAGGGAAGATTGTAGAATTAATATTTTGATATAACAAATAAGGGTAAAATATTTAAAATAAGGTTGTTAGAGTGATTAGAGACAATTTGAAGTTTAATTAAAAGAATCATAAAAAGGCTCAAGGAACTTACTCTTAGCTATGACACGTGGAGAGGAAGAAGAAGAAGGAAACGAGAAATAATGAAATAAAGAGAAGAAGATAAAGGAAGATAAAAGACTTCTTATCTTTTCAAAATAATAAAATCGAACTTTGGTCTCTCATCATCTACCTACTATGCAAAATCCCTTATTTATGGACAACGAAGTCCAATTCACATCTAATTAGGCCCCCACTCAACCCAACGGCTTTAATTACGAACTCCATGAGGTCTATCAATCTATCGGGTAAACCTAAAACTACTAGCCCGAAATTTAGGTTGTTACAAAAGGTAAAAGATGAAGTAAAATATGAAAGTGATTCTTTTGAAGATTATATGAAATTTACCCAGAAAAACAAAAACAACACGTGTCAAAATGTTATTAGTGTGGCACAAAGAGGGGCACTAAAAAGGGCAGAGATTTTCTATTCCCATCTTATGTGTTCATTT